ACGCATAGGAGTCATTCTCGAGAAGTTTTGTATATACGCGCTCACGGAGCCATTTGACCCATGCCAACCCTATATACGCGTCGCTCAACACTACAATAGTGCTTGTAAGTATAGCATGCACTGTGTGATGCGAAAGGCGTGATCTTACGTACGCAGAGCCACACGCCCACTTTCGGTATAATCGAAGCTTCTCATTTACTTGGGACGAGCACTGTGTTAGGTTATTTTGTAGCTGAGAGTTCGCTTACAGGGATAGGTTTTTACCAATCAGTTGTACATCGAATAGTCCTTCTAGAGAGGTTATTGCTGTGGGGAGTTCATTATCGAGTCCCACTGTATTTGGTCACTCATACTGTTTACGTTCTGATGCCATGTGATGAATTGTACTACCTCGTCGAGGGTTAGAGTACCCATACCATGTGCTCCGTGTGTCGTGTTGATACCCGACTGTGCCACGGGTGGGTGGGTGTTGTACAAACCCCGTGTTGGAGTTGGATCCAGGGCAGGACTAGTTGCGGGAGATGTGTGAAATCGACGCCGTGCTCATCCCATCCTCTGCACCAGGACGCACGCTTGGGGTCCATGGCTCGTGTGTGTGTGTGGATTGTACCGATCACGACAACTGCATGTCGCCACAGCTCACACATGTGCAATCGTCTTAACACTTTGTATATGTACATACAACACTTCACCTACAACAATGAATGTGGGGTGAACATTGTTGCATTGTAAGGAGAGGCGGGCACACATAAAGCATGTTGAGGTATATTAGCCAGTTAACTCGGGAATTGCGAGGCTCATCCTTTCTCCTGTTTAGTCATTATGGCTGGTTTGGGTTACTTCAGATTTGTATTTTATTTTGTATTTGTTTGTACTTATTACATACTAAATCTCTCGCTTACAAACATCAACTTTTGGAAAGTTTGCAAGGCTTGCATGTGCTGTCAGCCGTGCTGTATAGCAAGTAGAGTATATGTACATGTACATATGTGTACCATGTTGGGATGTGGGAGGTGAGAGATGGTGGAGGGGTGAGGATGGTTGGCCTCCTCTGAGAGACAAAATAACACCGCTGCCGAGTACGCCGCTGGAATTGACCGGAGATTGAACATGGAGAAGAGAGGAGAGGAAGAATCATCTTGCTTATGGACATGGATATGTATACAAAACAGCAAGTAAACATGTGTTTAAAACTTGAGTGGTCTTGCTCTGTAGCTGAGCACAGTGAGAACAATGTATGTATATCAATGGCCCAGATGGCTTCTACATACATGTCGTGTAGGTTTCAGTGGACAAGCTGCTTAACTTCACGTAGAAAAAAGTTCGATGGGAACTCAATGCATTACTATGAAATTTAGTAAACACAGACAGCACAGTTAGCGTCTATAGGTGACCAACTTTGGATAGACTAGGTAGAGCAAACCTACTCTACAAGCTGATATTACTTTTCCTTGCATTACTTTTACGGAGTTATGACCAAAAGGGTGTCAGTGTACCGAAATAAATGTGAGTGTGTTGGCAGTGGTGACATACCGACAGCCTCATTCCTGGAGTTGAGAAGCTCCCTGAGCGGGGCCGAGGCATTCTCCTGCTCAATGAGAGCTGCCCCCTCAATGTCCTGGGCCAGCTCGCAGAGGACCCCTGCTGCCACACGCGTCACATTCTCATTGCTCGAATAGAGAAGCTACGTGCATATGGAGGGAGGGGGGGGAGGGACAGGAGATCAGGGAATGGCCGGTGCAGAGCTCAATTCATTTTCAAACATCATCATGCCCAAGTGGCTAGCTTCATCATCTCCAATTGGTTATAGGCTTCTGACTTTCCAATTTCACATGCGCACAAACGACATTTATTATAACATAGAGGGCAAGCAAGAGCAAACAGAACTACAAACACAAAGGGACCCTCAAGGCACTACATTTGTGAATACAGTGTACCTATGAAACAAGTGAACTGATTAAGCACTTGACATAGGGTACGCCACATACAGTGTTACGTATGTTACCTGGACAAATAGTTTGACGGTGTTGAGTTTCCTCATGGTGTGTCTGTTCTCGGGAGACCTGGCCAGGAGGTGGAGAGCTCCCACACTCACCTCCACCACCTCGTCCATGTACACACCATCCTACACCGTCATATCAACACCGCACACACTTTATAACACCATTGTACGCATATTATATATAATATGTAAGAAGTGATGAAAAAACGTGGCTGCAAATCCCAATGTGTGTTTGTGTAGAATTAGACTCCAGTACACAAATGAAACTTCATCCCATCGACTGAGCTGTGCTTGCTCTGTGACATTGCAAGTGTGCTTTTAAACAGTTCTCCAGGTTTCCTTCCTTGAAACACAAACGCGAGGGGTCTAGTGATAATTGCAGGGTCAGAATCTAAATTGCACAGGCATACCTACATACGCATTAACCATACATTAATAAAGGCTATAAAGTACCCTTGCCTAACCTCGTTCCCAAACTAACCAACACTTCTGCACACAATACATATGGTCTTTGAAAATTCATCTCTACTTCATCTGTGAGCCTGCAACGAGGCTATGTTTAGCCTCCTCTTCCCCAAACTATTTTCCATATACAAAGTCTCCTTCCATCGATCCCCCGACAGATAAATTCCCGAGTTCAACCTGTGTTTGTATGTGTATCAACTCACAATGAGTCCCTGTGGACCTCCGGGGACCCCGCGTTTGCTGGAGTTGGTGTAGGCCCGTGTCAGAATGTTCCAGAGCTTGGGGATGACGGCCTGCTGTCTCAGGTGGAAGTGGTTCTCTGGACAGAGGGCCAGGTTGCGGATCAGACCTACCAGGCCCTGGGGAGACAAGGGGAGACAGGGGAGGAGAGGTTAGTCACATTCATTCCATGCTCTCTTGCATACAACACTAAGAGGTTTTGTGTCAAGCTGGAAGAGTTTAATGTGGTATGTATATACCACCAATGGAGAAAACCGTTGCCATGACGCATGTTTATACAGGAGGAAAAATCATTCCTAATGCTCTTGTATGAATATTTAACAAGTACGAATGCAACGCACATTTGGTGAGCGAACGTGAGTATAATTTAACTTTCTGCAAGCGTACATTACGTTATGCACAGTGGCAGTGCCCATCACAACCTATACAGATAAAACCCGGCGTTGAAATGACTTCACTCCCCAATTATGTAGTGTGCCCTGGTGCATGAGTGTTGAAAGAATGAAACCAATCAACTACGTAGCTCACTAGCTCATGCAGTTTGAGTGCAACAGAAGACATAAAGCAACACCTACACACTGAAGCCTAAGTATACACAGCTCTACATGCATGGAAGATATGAGACTCCTAATTACCTTGAGGAGAGGCCAGCGGCACTGCTGGTGAAGGAAGGCCGAAATGACGGGGATTCCCCCAACCTGTCGCACAGTGTTCTGGGCCATGTCGGCACTCGGGTGACGGCTGGTGATGTGTCTCAGTGCACACACCGCAGGCTCAATGATGTCCTCCCTGCCACTGGCATTGTTGACCGCCTGCAGCAGAGCCTGGGGAGGTGGGAAGGGGGAGAAGGAGGAGAGGGGGGAGGAGGGAGGAGAAGGAGGAGAGGGGGGAGGGGTGAGAGAAGGAAGGGGGAGGAAAGGGAAAGGGAGGAGAGGGAAGAGAGAGGAGGGGAAGGGAGAGAGTGGGTGAAAGGAAAGGGAGGTTATTCAAAAATTGGTCAGAATGTTTTAACTGTGTTCCTGGACTTTCTTTTATTGGTGTCAACCACTACTACAGTTAGTATGGGACCTGTGTACATACACATAAATGTGTAGCCTGACAATGTCATTGGTGCTAAACTCACTGCTACAGTTTGCATACGTAATGTGCAGCCTCGACAGTGAATGAAGGATGGGGAGCACTCTGCATTGTATGTAGGTACAGTGTTTGTACACATGTATGTACCTGGACGCCGTGTAGCTGGCAGACAATGGTCTTGTTCTTGGCGTTGTTGCAGGTGAGGTTGCAGAGGACACCGGCCGTGCAGGTGACCGTAGTGACGTCGTTAGAGGCAAGGAGGACTATCAACTGCCGCAGGAGGTCGTCCAGATGGTCCTGCAGTACACACCAGGAGAGAGATACAGGCCACACTATACCTCACAGTGCTGTAAGCTGACTTCATCCATACTTTTAGTGTGCTATGCGAACCGCAGATCACACTAATTGTGCAGAACTATTTTGTAAGTGGTTCATTTCAGTTTGTACTACAATGACGACAAAAACAGTGTATGAACACTAAATTAAAGCTACCGACAGACTCATAGAAAGATTTAAACACCGTCTACTGTTGTATATGCTGCCCATAATGCAGTACATGTATAAAGGTACAGTACACACGTAAAGGTGTCATGTATGTAGAAGTGTACATGATAGCAATGTTTAAAGACCCACAGCTGTCGTGGCGCATGTCAGAGCAGATTGATTGCGCGTGTGTGTGAATGTTGTGAGACCAAGATGACGAGATAGCGCCTGCATCCTGCCAGACTGACAGAGGAGAGGGTAGAAGTAGTGAGAGAGGGAGAGGACGGAGTGACAGAATGAAGTAGAGAGAGAGATGGAAGGGTGCGCTAGATGGAGAGAATGAGAAACGTCAGAGTAGGAGGGATGACAGATGCGCATTCGGAGAAGCTTTGAGCAAGAGAGAGGAAGATGCGAGAGAGTGTGAGAAGAGAGGGAGGAAGGGGTCCAAGAGTCGGAAGGAGTGTGGTAGTAATCGGACGCGCGAGGCAGGATGCGCAGGAGAGTGGAGACGATAGTGAGGGAAGAAAGGTGACAGATGTGTGTGAATATCTAGGAGAGGTAGTAGATGGAAGGTGAGAGAGTGGTGGTGCTAGTGTCTACTTCTCCATTGACAACACAATCGACACAGACAGTTCCTAGTTGGATATATATCTGGTTGGGAGCCTGCGCTGTACCAACAATCTGCACCGTGGCTGTACAGTCATCCACACTCTGAGACAGAGCTGAAAAAAGATCTCAAATTCATAGGTATAGCTACTACTTTGTGGGGTTCAGTGGCGCCTGAAAATGGAGGCTAGCGATTGCTGACAGTTCGACCACTAGCATCTCTCAACTCACTGCTGCTAAAAGCGAGCACCCAGCAGCGAAGAATAGAAGTGAAAAACACATTATTTGTCAGAGTTTTTCTTCCTCCCCGTGTATACAAACCGAAACGAATATGGTATTCACTGCCTATATCTGCACGTCCGTACGTGCAGGTAATGCATCATTACAGCCCCAGCAAATTATGATCTTATCATTCAACTATATAGACTCGTGCAGTTTTGGTTGTCTCCACGAAAAGAGCATCAGTCGGGATGGCTCCGTTGATATCCCAAGAGAAGTGGGAGCTGAGACACTAGTTTATAGAGTGATGGTGAACGTAATGGCTACAGCACCTCCAGTTGATAGAGTTCCACTACTGTCCAGCTGTGCATGCATATTAAACAAACAACATTTTTTGCAAGATATTTACCGCTGTTTTATCAGGCATAGAAAGTTTAGTTGAAGATATCATTACTCACAATACTTGTAGGACAGAGAGTTTGAATGTCCCCTGAACTTAACTGGCAGAGCAGATAGAGCTGCACACCACTGTCCTCTACACTTGCTCAGGAGGATGATGACTGTCACATGCAGTCACCCCACAACCCCGTGAGGGTAATATTGGAATAATCTCTTGTAGCTATCTTGTATATATGTAAATCCTAAGGGTCTAGTAACATACAAGTGGAAAAATCATTTCTTCAAAATGAAGG